GCTTACCTACACGCAGGCAATACACGCATACACATAAAATAAAAATAATAAAATATTTTTTTAAAAAACACATTTAGGCCAGTGAAATGGCTCAGTATGTAAAGGCACTTGCTGTCAAACCTGACCACCTCGGTTTGATGCCCAGGACCCACATGGTAGAAAGAGAAATAACTACCTCAGGTTGTCATCTGGCTTCCACATGCATACCATGGCACTCAAGCACCCACACACATACATAAAATAAACAGATACCACATTTAAAAATAAATTTTAAGGCTGGACATGGAGAATTGCTGCACATTCAAGGCCAGCCTGGTCTACATAGCAAATTCCAGGCTACCAATGGCTACATAATGAGACCCTGCCTCAAAAGGACAAAAAATAAGAATGAATTTTAAGCAGACCTAATTGGTCCAGGCTTATGACCCCAGCTATTCTGGGGTTGAGGCTGGAGGATTTTAAGTTTGAGGTCATCCTGGGATACAGAGTAAGTTCAAGGCCAGCCATGGCAACTTAGTGAACCTCTGTCTAAAAATAAATAGTAAGCCGGGTGTGGTGGCGCACGCCTTTAGTCCCAGCACTGGGAGGCAGAGGCAGGTGGATCTCTGTGAGTTCAAGGCCAGCCTGGTCTCCATAGTGAATCCAGGACAGCTGGGGCTACAGGGAGACCCTGTCTCAAAAAGACCAAAAAATAAAATAAAAATAAATAGTAAAAAGAGGCCTGGGTATATAGCTCACTGGTAGAGTGTTTAACTAGCATGTTTGAGGCCCTGGTTCAATCCCCAGTACTGGCCTATAATCCCAGGACTTAGAGGCTGAGATAAGAAGATGGCCCTTGGATTCAAGGCTAGTCTGGGTTACAGAATGAGTTCAAGGGCAGCCATCACTACTTAGAGAGACCCTGTCTCAATAAAACTGGGTTTTTATATAATATAATAAAAAATAAATTTTGTTTTTACACCTATAGCATCAAGCACTTAAGAGGCAGAGGTAGGAAATTACTTAAGTCCAGGAGTTCCTAGACCAAAGTAGGCTTCAAAGTAAGACTCCATTTCAACAAATTAATTAAACCAGCGAAGATGTAATGCCAGCAAAAGGTCTCCTCTAAAGAATCGTTTCTGACCACAAGTGGAGTTGTAACCACTGTGCTCCTTTTTCCCTTTTCAAGTGGTAACCAGGGAGCTCATAATTTCATTTTATTTCCAATTTCATTACAATATCATCTCATAGAATTTCTCCTTTCTCTTCCTTCCATTCTATGTTATCTTTCTTTTCCTCTCTCATTAACCTTATTTGCCATGAGCCCCTTTTTTCGTTTTCCAGAATCCTATGGGCTGTAATCCTATTAGCTGACATTTCCCAGCATGCCTCTCACTCCCAGCCTTGCCTTCCAGTAGCACCTGTGCCTCCTGCCCATGAACCCCAAACTCTGGAGCTCCTGACCCCCATACCCTCTCTGGTCCAGTCTTTCCACATCCTCCACCCGCATGCCGAAGATGAAGAAGTTCTCCTCTCCAGCCTCCTCTGCCATCTCCACGTTGGCCCCATCCATGGTGCCGATGGTCAGAGCCCCGTTGAGCATGAACTTCATGTTGCCAGTGCCTGAGGCCTCGGTGCCTGCAGTGGAGATCTGCTCAGAGAGGTCAGCAGCTGGGATCACTGTAAGGCAGCATCAGGGACACTAGGTCAGCTCCGGACAGCCCCATCCTGCTGGATCTCTAGCCAGATTCAGGGTCCCCTCTGCCCTAAGCCTGGAGAACTCAGCAAGCCTCTCTCCTCAACCTGCTGCCTCTTACTGATTCCAACCTGGGTCCTACCCTTCATTGTGTGACCTTTTTGCCATTGTTTGTGTAGACCCTGCTGGCCTGGAACTCACAATGTGGATAAGGCTGGCCTCAATCTCACAGCACTCTATCTGCCTCCACTTCCCAAGTACTGGGATTAAAGACATGTGCCATCACACCCAGCTTGCTGTTTTCTGTTTTATTTTCTTGTGTATGTGTGCACATATGTGGTATCTGTGTATGTGTTAATATGTGTTTGCACATGTGTGTGTATGTGGAGTTCAGAGGAGGACTTCAGGTAACTTTCTCAATCACTTGCCATCTTTTTTTTTTTTTTTTTTTTTTTTTGGTCTTTTTGAGACAGGGTCTCCCTGTAGCCCCAGCTGTCCTGGAACTCACTATGTAGACCAGGCTGGCCTTGAACTCACAGTGATCCGCCTGCCTCTGCCTCCCAAGTGCTGGGACTACAGGTGTGCGCCACCACGCCCGGCTTGTTTTGTTTTTGTTGCTGTTGTTTTTTTGAGACAGGGTCTCCCTGTAGCCCCAGCTGGCCTGGAACTCACTATGTAGACCAGGCTGGCCTGGACCGCACAGCGACCCCCCTGCCTCTGCCTCCCAAGTGCTGGGACTACAGGTGTGCGCCACCATGCCCGGCTTGTTTTGTTTTTGTTGCTGTTGTTTTTTTGAGACAGGGTCTCCCTGTAGCCCCAGCTGGCCTGGAACTCACTATGTAGACCTGGCTGGCCTTGAACTCACAAAGGTCCTCCTGCCTCTGCCTCCCGAGTGCTGGGATTAAAGGCGTGCGCCACCACACCTGACTCTTTTTAAGTTTTTTATTGAATTTTTGTGTATTTCATACAGAAAATCAGTTTTATAGCCTATTCCTTAGTACCCTCCCATAACCCTCCAGTGGAGTTCATACATTCTGTCATTTGTATTAAGGCCTATTATATAAAGTTAGTGGAGACGTCCCTTGGTGCAAATTCATCCACCATGGTTTAGTCAGCCTATCTAGAGTCTCTCCCTTCAAGAAGATCAGCTCTTCCTCACCCAGCAGCAATCAGCTGCCAATAATTCTTCGAGTAAGACTGGGGCCTGCTGCTCATTTCCACAGTTCTGTGCTGGGTTTTTGTCTGCCTAAGTTTGCATGGGTCTTGTGCATGCTGACACCACTGGTGCAGGTTTGTATGAGAAGGGTCCATCCTATTTTTTTGAAACAGAGTCTCTCACTAAACCTGGAGCTAGCTAGTTTAGCCAGACTGGTTGGCCATCAGAGCCCCAGCATCCCTCTGTATCTACCTCCCCAGCACTGGGATTATGGCACACACACCATGCCCATCATTTTCTACATGGGTGTTGGGGATCTGAACTCAGGCCCTCATACTTCTGCAACAAGCATTTTTACTGACTGAGCCATCTCCCTAGCCTCTGGTTCTTTTTTCAAGATAAGTTCTCATATAGCTCAGGCTGGCTCCAAACTTGCCATGTAACCCAGGAAGGCCTCTTCATGTGCTGGGGACATGGGGGTGCAGGACCCTTGCACGATCCAAAGCACTATCAGGGCCTACCTCCTCCCAACTCTCACCCTGTTTTGTCTGAAGTGCCCCTCAGAAGGACACCCTGTAGTAGCAGCTTTGCTCTCTCCAATGTCTTCTTTACCCTCACCACATTCCAAGAAAGATGGTCAATAATCCTCTGGGACTGAGCTAGTCAGAGCTCCAGGGTTCCCACTGAGGCACCCACCTTTCTCAGCCAGTGAGACTCGGTAGTTCTCCAGAAAGATCACTCGGAGGCGGTCTCCCACCACTGGGTCGTGGTTGACCACATCCCCGATGGCAGTGATGAGTTTGATGATCATCTTGGCCATGTGGTACCCGGGTGCAGCCTGGGGGACAGTCTGGGGTTAGTGCCTCACCACCCCAACACACCTTGATCCTGTGATTGGTTACCCAGGCATATGGCCAAAACCCAGAGCCCGTCTGCATTGAGTTTCTCACCTTGCCTCCGATCATCACAGTCCGGGGCACCATGAATTTACTGGGCTCCCTCTTGATACCTGTGGAGAAGAGAGGTGTCATGGGGGGCTGAGCTGACAACACACAGACAGCCAGGGCCCAGACTGGGATATGGGCAGTGTTGGCCTGGGCTAGTCACTGCTCTGTATCTGTACGTCCTCTTCTCTGAGCCTCAGTTTGCTTTTCTGTGAAATAGGTTGTGATGGTTAGTGTTGTCAACTTCACAAAATCTAGACTCTCCTGTGAGGCAAGCATCTGGCCCTGTCTGTAGGGGATTCTCTTAATTACATTAATTGAGGTGGGGAGTCCTGCCCCTGTGGGTGGCACTTTTCCCTAGGCAGGGAATTCTGGACTATGTAAGAGTAGAGGAAAGGGGTGGGGGGATAGTTCAGAAGTTAAGAGCACAAACTGCTTTTCCAGATGACCCGAGTTCAATTCCCAGCACCCATGTCAAGTGGCTCACAACTGCCTGTAACTCTAATTCTGGGGGATCTGACACCTCTGGCCCCCAAGGGCACCCACACTCACACACATAATTAAAAATAAATCTGTAAAGAAAATAGAGAAAGCAGAGCCAGCAAGATGGCTCAGTGTAAAGGCACTTGTTTGCCAAGCCTGACAACTTGAGTTTGATCCCTGGGACCCATACTGTGGAAGGAGAGAACCAACTCCAGCAAGTTGTCCTCTGACCTCCACATGCATACTGCACAATGGTATGCACACACGTACATTAATAAATAATAAATGCAAAAATTTATTTAATTGATTTGATTTTTTGAGACAGGGTCTCCCTGTAGCTCCAGCTTGCCTAAAATTCAGGCAGTAGACTAGGCTGGCCTTGAACTCAGAGATCCACTTGCCTCTACCTTCTGAGTGCAGGGATTAAAGGCATGCACCACCACATGTAAAAATATTAGAGTGTAGCGAGCCAGCTGAGACCTGCCATGGGGTCATTCCTTCGCCTTTCTCCACTCTTGACTGTGATATAGCCTGGTCAGCTGCTTTTGGCTCCCACTGCCTCCACTTCCCCTCAAGGAACCACTGTGAGCCAAATCAACCCTTTCTGTCTTTATCAGGGCATTTTGTCACAGCAACAGCAATGTAGGGTAGCTCCACAGCCTCAAGAAGGCCCCAGGAGATACCCATCAGGCTGTGGGTGGTGTACTGGGAGATGCCCAGGGTAGAGGGGACTGAGGTGAATGGGAGGGGGGGCGGTCCCTGCCACTCACGGTTGTACAGGGTGATGATGTGAAGACAGTTAAGGAGCTGGCGCTTATATTCGTGAATCCGTTTCACCTGGACGTCGAAGAGTGAGTTGGGGTTGATTTGTACTTTGTATTCCCTCTCAAGGTAGGCAGAGAACTTCAACTTGTTTTCCTGCAAGCGGGGGAGGTGGAAGGCTCACCAGTTGGCTTCAGCTTAAGAAACTATACTGTCTCATGGCTTTCTACTCAGGCTCCGGAAGGTAGATGGTAGGACGCTCACCTGCTACCTTCCTCTACCCCTGGCACCAGGACAGACATTACTAATCGATGTCAGCTCTCTCTCAGTGATGTCAGATGCTGCTTTCCAGCACTGACTCCAACCATTGGCTGAGGTTGGAAGGAAAGATGGGCTGTAGTTGCCACTCCTGACCCAGACATCTGGCCCCTTCCTGTCCTCTCCCGATGCTAGCCCTGGCATGAAGAGTCCCAGAAGGCAGCCCTCCCCACCTGCTTCACTTTGGCCACATCCCGGATAAAGGCTTCATCGTCCACGTAGGAGAGCAGTTTGCGCAACTGGTCCAGGTCTGAGATGTACTCCTCCCCGATGCGCTGTGGGAAGACAGCTCTCAGCCAAGCCTACCCTCCCTGGCCTTCCGTCTACCTCAGACTGCTCCACCTGACCCCAGCAGGCCTCCTGGCCTCCAGTCCTTCCTCCTCCTTGTATGACTCCAGCTTCCCCACCAGACATCTGCCCCCTTGCAGTTTCACTTTAGATGTGAACCAGTGGCCACACCCTCCTTTAGACTGTGAACTCCAATCACAGCCTCTATTAGCCCACTGGGTATGCTCATTCAAGTAGGAAATGGTGGATGCCAGGCTGGAGAACACAGTGCAGGTGGACTGGGGCTTTGCACAATGAGCTGCCCACACAACTGTACCTAGAAGATCCCTGTAGTGACCTGTCTTGGTCCTCCTAGTCTGCTCACCTCAGCTATGACTTCTGCCAACCCAGGGTTACACAGAACCAGCCAGCGCCGAGGGGTGATGCCGTTAGTCTTGTTCTGAAACTTATGAGGCTCCAGCTCATAGAAGTCCTTGAAGCTGCAGGGTGAGGGTCACCATTCATCTCTGGGGCCCAGAGATTTTCAAGAGTGTACCACCCTTGGGGCCAGTGAGATGATTAGGCTGGTAAGGGTGCTTGCTGCTGACTGCTGACCTGAGTTGGATGGCAGGAACCCAAATGGTGGAAGGATAGAACAGACTATTCTCACAGGTTGTCCTCTGACCTTCACACGTGCACAGTGGCACATGCTGTGAGCATGCACGCATGTAAGTAAATAAATAAATAAATAAATTCTGAGTGTGGTGACATATGCCTTTGATCCCAGCATTCAGAAGACAGAGGCAGGGGAATTTCTGTGAGTTCAAGGCCAGCGTGGTCACACAGTGAGTTCCAGGCCAGGGCTATATAGTGAGCCCCTGCCAAAAAAAGGGGGGGCTGGAGAGATGGCTCAGCGGGGTTAAGAGCACTGACTGCTCTTGCAGAGGAACCGGGTTCGATTCCCAGCACCCATGTGGCAGCTACAAACCGTCCTTAACTCCAGTTCCAGGGGAATCCGAAGCTCTCTTCTGACCTCCGTGGCATTGCACGACACGGGTGCACGCGCATACATGCAGGCAATACATTCATACACATAAAATAAAAAATTTAAATTAAAAAAAAAATAGCTTAAAAAAAAAAAAAAGGCGAGTGTGGTAGAGCACACTTTAATCCCAGCACTCAGGAGGCAAAGGTAGGTAGATCTCTGTAAATTTGAGGGCAGCCTGGTCTACATAGCAAATTCCAGGTTACATAGTGAGACCCTGTCCTGTGGAAAGGCCAGCCCAGAATACCTTAGCTGGTGACAGGTGAAGGGGCGGGGCCCATATGTGGTGGAAGGTGGATGGCGGGGCTGGGGGAGGGGCTCACATGGTCTTCTTGAGGATCTCGGAGTGGATGCGAGCCACGCCATTGACCGCGTGGGAGCCGGCAATGCACAGGTGCGCCATGTTGATGCGCTTCACCGCACCCTCTTCCACGAGTGACATGCGACGGAGCCGGTCTACGTCCCCGGGGAATGCGGCCGCTACCCTCTGTGCCCGAGAGCGCTCAGCTAGGACCGGGACCGGGAAGCCCAGTCCCCAGCCCTGACTCCCAGACTCAGCCCAAGAGCCTTGGATGGACACCCCTTCCGCCGCCCACGCCAGGCCCATCCCACTCTCCCTGGCTCACGTTAAGGAAGCGCTGGTTGATCTCATAAATGATCTGCAGGTGCCTGGGCAGCAGCGTCTCCATGAGGTGCACGGGCCAGCGCTCCAGGGCCTCCGGCAGCACCGTGTGGTTAGTGTAGGCACAGGTCTTCACTGTCACGTCCCAGGCCTGGCACACAGGGCAGGGAGTCAGGACCCAAACTCTCCCCACACTGTGCAAGCCTGTGGGCCTTGCCAAGGCGGCTGGGTTCCACACTCCTGATTCACTCCACTGCCATCCTTCCACCCCATCCTGGAAAGGGGACCCTAGGGCAGAGCAGTTCCTTCAGGGATGGAGGGGATGACACCCACCTTGTCCCACTCCAGCTGCTCCAGGTCCACCAGAATCCTCATCAGTTCTGGGATGGCCAAGGAGGGGTGGGTGTCATTGAGCTGGATGGCCACCTGTCAGGGGAGGGGCAGCTGTCACTATGGTGACTGTTTCTCACCCCCTTCAAAGCTCTTAAGGTGGGAGCCTTTAATCCTAGCACTTGGGAGGCAGAGGCTGGTGGATCTCTGTGAGTTCGAGGCCAGCCTGGTCTACATAGTGAGTCCCAGGCCAGCTGGGGCT